GGGGTTATAATTGTCTTTTTGTATATCGTCAAATTGAAAAAAAATTTAGCAAAAAAATTGGATAATCTTGAGAGGAATTTAAAAAGAAATGTCTCAGGAATCCCAAAGCCTTGATTAAACTTAAAAGCATCAGACGACAAAAAAGTACTTAAAGAACCCTTTCTAAAATTGAAAACTTAAAGGGATGTATTGTAATTGAACTGAGAATGTAGTTTTGTTAAGAAATTGTTTAGGAATCATTTGAGACCAATATCAGACGTTTTGACGGTGAATATTTGTGTAGGAAGAGCGCAAATTCAATCTTTAAAATCCTCATAGATTGTTTATTTGTTGAGGAATGATTTTGCGAATCGGTTTTAAAAAAATTATTCCACAATAAATGTATTAGAAATTCTACAGTAAACTAGTTAGTGGTTTTTAGGAACAGGTTGAGAAAATGAAAATTAATTATTATCATCGAAATGATGATAATAGTTGATTTGAAGAAATCTGCGAATAAATTCATAAAGAATAAGAAATTCAATATGATGATGAAAAAGAAATAATTGGTTCTAACATTGATTCATTGAGAAAATTTCAATTGAGAAATATGTTCATAAACATCTAATTCGTTTACTATAGAATTTTTTTTCATTTTTTGTCGTTGTTATTATTAATTAAAAAAATCGATTCTCCAAACGTACTTAACCAAATTGATGATATTGAATGTGAACTTTGCGCTCAAACTCAGGAGAATTATACTTCATTAAAACATTTATATGTCTTAAATCAATCCTAAAAAAATGTTTCTACAATACTACGCTCTCAGTTCAACACCATAGATTGCCAGTTACTCCCTTTAATGTAAAATTAAATTTTTATTTCTATTTAAACGATTTAAAATCCCTGATCTCTCTTTTTTTGGGTCACCCCGTATGTGAGATTAATTTTGCAGGAAAAAGGGTGATTCCCAAAAAGGAAGAAGAACAAAGACTAGAGAGGTTTTTCTGGAGAGTCCACTTGATCAACTTTTAAGGAATATTTTTTAACAGAACATTTATTTTTATGGAAATATTCACATTTTCAGCAACTTACTATAAGCAAAAAACAATAACTAGGAAATTTAAAGAATATTTATTTGTTTCTTTTTGCCACAAACTCAAATTTTCTAATCCCTATAAAATCCCTAAAATTTTGTGTTTGTGACAAAAACTCAGTTTTATTGTACAGTGATAAACAGAAAACTTTGGAAAAATAAGTCGACTTTTAAACTGAAATTGTGTAAACAGACCCATGCCACGGAATAAGTGATTTGATAACTTAAAGTAAAGCTTTTTAGTTTGTCTGTGGATGCTTTTGCTTAAAAATAAAAAAATAGGTCTGTTTACCCGATTATGTCTGAGTGCCGGGGATTCTCCTCTCCTTCCAGATTTATTCAAAAATATTCAAGGTAAATTATAGACTATAGGGGGGGGGGCTAATAAATANCTGTAGGGGGGTCTAATAAATATTCAAGGTAAATTATAGACTATGGGGGGGTCTAATAAATAGGAGAAAGAGACGAAAGTTTTTTAATAGAAGACCGTAATTCGAGAAATAAATTTTAAGATAGAAATGTTTAAAATGTACTCTTGTGAAATACACTATAATGTTTGCTGATAATACATTATCCGACAGTTGCAGTACTCTGAGATAAGAGAGTTAAAGAGATTGATTATCAGCTAAAATATGCGATATTTTCCACAGCATGTTCTATTGTGTACAAGTACTGTACACGACCAATCAACAAACATCTTTGTTCAGTGAAATCTAAGGATCCTTTGAATACGAAACACAAAATATTCAAAAAAAAGACTAAATTCATAAATGTTATGTTTAAAATTGGAGTATATCTTTAAAAGTTGTAAAACTTAACCCCTGAATGGGTATTACGTTAAACAAGTGGCCGTGAAATGACACTCTAAAAACCTATTGTTAAAACGTAGCATGTCGTGCCGGGTCAACGTAGGCCTACGTAGCCCACCCCGTGAAAGGAGATACGCGTCTGTGTAGTCTGTGGTCCGACTGTAAATATTGGTAAAAAGGGGCAATTCAGAAGTTTTGGAAAAACGTGTACAGGCCCTTTAATAATATATAATACAGGCCCTTTTTAATGATGATAATAATATATTGTAGTTATGTATTGTAATACTCATTCACGATAGTAATATATTATAGTTATGTATTGTAATACTCATTCACGATAGTAATATATTGTAGTTATGTATTGTAATACTCACTCCTGATAGTAATATATTGTAGTTATGTATTGTAATACTCATTCACGATAGTAATATATTGTAGTTATGTATTGTAATACTCATTCACGATAGTAATATACTGTAGTTATGTATTGTAATACTCACTCCTGATAGTAATCTATTTTGTAGTTATGTATTGTAATACTCATTCACGATAGTAATATATTGTAATTATGTATTGTAATACTTACTCTTGAATCTGGTAAAAGATGCTGATCTACTTTTAATATTTATCGAGATATTTGCGGCATGTTTAATTAAAATCTAATTTAAGATTATTAAAAAAATGTTGGTTTTTTTTCACATCATTATAATCCATGAATGATGCCATTACAAATGGTTTCAGCAAAATTTCTATCTTTTAAAAAAAATTTTAATTATTTAATTTGACAGTACAGTGATGGCGCTAGATGTAAGATTTGTTCCTGAAAGAGAAGAATGCTGTGTCGGAGTACCCCTTGGTAAATACCTTATCAGAAATGCTTGGACTCAGGTAAAAACATAAAATTTTGTTCGCTATATCGACTTTTGTACTTTATGACTTATGAAATTTATGAAAAATGTAGTTTATGACTTTGGTAATTATGAAAAACATATTTATGACAAACATATTGTGATTTTTTTTACTACGTCATTTCTAAATTACGAAAATTTTGTTCGAAGTTACGAACATTGTTCGAGATACAGAAAAAGTGAAAGACATGATTAACATTTATAATTTCATTTAAAGATTGGTCGCAAAATGTTTCATTCAATTGAAGCAAAATATCAAAATAATAATTATTATCGATTGAACAGTTGGACATGTCAAAACATTCAAATGTTGTATCAGAGTAAGCAAAAAAATGGTACAAGTTTTATTTGAATCCTTAATGAAACCCACATAAACAATTTTTTTAACATTTTTGATAATTTTTAAAAAACGGTCTTTTATCAAAAATATCAACAGTATGTTAACAATTATTAGCCAACAAAATCGGTCAGGAAAATACATAAACATTTTTTGAAAAGTTTACTCTGGAACTTTGCATGTAGGATTAGGCAGGGTTCTTTTTTTAACAACATTCACTTTAAGATTTTATTAAACATTTTCAAAAAACAGATATAATCTAATATGTTTTTATTTTTGTTTAGGACAGTAAGGATGAAAAAGTTGTAAATTTACAATCTGTAAAGATATAATTTACTATTTTTAATTCATATTTCGGACAATAATGATCATAAAGTTGTAGATTTCCAATCTATAAAGATATAATTTTTTTTATTGTTTAGGATAATAATGATGATAAAGTTGTAGATTTCCAATTTGTAAATATATAATTTACTATTTTTGATTCTTATTTCGGACAATAAAGATAATAAAATTGTAGATTTCCAATCTGTAAAGATATAATTTACTATTTTTGATTCTTATTTCGGACAATAATGATAATAAAGTTCTAAATTTCCAAACTATAAAGATTTAATTTATCATTTTTTATTTTTAAGGACAATAATGATGATAAAGTTGTAGATTTCCATCTGTAAAGACATGATTTCTTTTTTTTAAGGACAATAATGATGATAAAGTTGTAGATTTCCAATCTGTGTATGCGTTCATGTGGAAACAAAATCATATTCTTTGTTTTAGGTAGAAAATTATTCTTATCAATATATATAAAACTCTGATTAATTTTTTAATGACAATTTTAGTTTATAAAGTTGCTCTTCAAGCCACCATCTTTTCTTTTACACATCTCAAAAATAAAATCTCACCAATTTTTTGATTTTTTAAAGAATTTAAAAAAATAACATTATTTCCAAGCAACAATTTTATAATTCTGTGAGTTAGTTGCCACACACATTTTGTGCCTAATTAGTGGAACAGTTTTTTGATAGAAACAAACCAAAGAACAGAGACTGCAATATATATAAATATAAAATACTAATGATTGCATAAAATCATGAAACAATATGTTTATGAATAAAATTTTCAGATCATTTATTTATATATATTTATATATTTACTATTTCATTAAAAGGACTTTCCTTCTCTCCATTAAAAAAATTTTGGTTATTTTATTTAACGAAGTTTTTAGAATGTTTAGGTGCAGGTATACCACTAGGTCCTAAGCTTGGATCGACCAACCCTAATGTTCAAAATAAAAATGTGTCCTATTTCAGAACAAAGAGAACACTGTTTGAAAAATCATTAAAACCCCTCCAGGTAGATTCTTATACATATTATGAAAATGACCCTTCGTTTGATAGAATACCATGTCTGATTCACATCGGTGATAAGGGCGAAAGGGGGGGGGGTCATTTATATTGAGTTTACATCATAAACCTCTTATCTAAATCAAATAAGGCTCGGTCGCTTGAGTAATTTGTTTGAGACCATGAAACACAAGACAAATGCATTTTAAGAGGAGTATTGTGACAACAACCAGTAACCCCCCTAAAATACCACACCGTGGGATGGGTGTAGTTAACATCTAGAGCAGTAAAACTCTGATACACGTACAGTATAGACTGTACTTGTACTTGTGCATATCTGCTGCAAAAACATTGCAGAAAATTGACACAATGAAACACTTTTTTAAGCTTGGCAAATTACGTTCCACATTATTAATCAGATAAAGGTTTCAACTAAACCTTTGTTAATCGTGTATGATTGTTCCTCTTTGAAGTTCTGTTGAAATTGCAACAATCGCGACAGTTCTTTAGTTCTTTTGTTTCTAACGCATCTGGATTTTACTTGCGCGCCATTGCGAGCCCTGTGATTCTGCGAAATTCTGAGCAATTTCACGCAATTTTAAACATTTTCGTGCAACGGAATTCCGATTGGAAATCCTACCTTAAACCCTTAATAGTAGATAAATAATATGTTTAGAATACAGTGTTGAACCTCGAGATTGTATTAGACGAAGAATACGACATTCATCAACTCCGGTGTATAGACGAGGACAATGTGAGTTACAGAGTTACCAACAAAGGATGAGACTGTAAAGACGACCTTAAAACTTACAACGCCAGTCCCTGTCTTGAATATACTCTTTCTAATGATTTAGAAAAGAAATTAACATGTTTACAGTTGCAGGGAATTATAAATATAAAGAAAAAACTCTAAGATATGTTAATCCATTTGATTTTATTATGAACTAATAAATATTGAAATGAAGTTATGACATCATGAATTGGTTAAAAAGATGTTTCTATCTTTTTCTGATCTTTTTTTTCTATAGAATGAAATAACAGGAAGGTCCCAGGAGCCTAGTTTTGTTAGAAGGAATCTAATGGATGAGGCTCAAGGTAAAACTTTTAAAAGAAAAAATTTTAAAATCATTTTTTTTCAGTAAATATTTTTTAGGTGGACTTATGGATGTAGAAACTTATACAGGAAACCATTCAGAATTTTCTTAAATTTAGCCTCTCGAGAAGTTAAGTAAAATTATTGGTTGTTTTGTTTAATATGGTTTAGTCAATTAGATGAATATAGTTGGATCTTTAAAGGGACTGTAAAGGAAAAATGAAAGGGGGTATAAGATGAAACCTGAGAATCTCAGGAGTTGATTGATACATATATAAGATATCTATCTGATGGAAATTGATATGAAACTGTGTCAAGTTTATACGAAAATTCACATATATGCAATTTTGTATAAAAGTTGTAGTATTAAACAGATAATATTTAGCAAATACGCAACCAATCTAAAAATGACGATATCCCACAGGAGCCTGAGAATCTCCGGTTTGCTCCTATCACAATTTTTTATTTTGCATTTTGCATTTTCAATAGATGTAATTGATAATATTATTACATATAGTCTATATAGTCCGTATTGCGTCACCAAAACTTCAGCCAATGGCAGTGCAGTATGCTGGTCACATGATGTCCGTCTGTATCCCGTGATCAGTATACTGCACTGACATTGGCTGAAGTTCTGGTGACGTAATACAGACTACGGACTATTTGTAATACAATCATCAATTATCACAATTAAAAATGCAAAATAAAATTTAAAAAATTATACTATACCCCCTTTCTTTTTTCCTTTACAGTCTCTTTAAAACTTGTTTTACATGGTTAAAATGGTGTGTTGTAGTAAGAAAATGTATGCAAGCATTATATTGCAACTGTTAATCTGTAAATGATTCTAAGTGAGTGTAGATCTAATCTGGGTTTATGAACTGAACACTTAACTCAAACTCTCATATATAAATTTCAATACCTTTGAAACCTGATGGTTTATTTTTACATTTCAAACTTTGAAAAATAGATCTAAAAAAATTCAATGTTTTAAATATCAAAGCTCTACGATTTCAGATTTCAAAGAGTTAGAAAAATTAAGTTTTGGATTTACTATTTATTTGGTTTGGTTAGATATTATATATTAAGTGTGAACTATTTATACTTGGTTTGGTTTGGTTTGATATTAGTAAGTGTGGACTATTTATTCATGTTTAACTTGGTTTGGTTTGGTTAGATATTAGTAAGTGTGGACTATTTATCTATTTTTAACTTGATTTGGTCTGGTTTGGTTAGATATTAGTAAGTGTGAACTATTTATTCATGTTTAACTTGGTTTGGTTTGGTTAGATATTAGTAAGTGTGGACTATTTATTCATGTTTAACTTGGTTTGGTTTGGTTAGATATTAGTAAGTGTGGAAAATTTATCCATTGTTTAACTTGGTTTGGTTTGGTTAGATATTAGTAAGTGTGGACTGTTCTATCTGGATTCAGTATTCGGACTCAAGCTAGATTCTACTGATGAGGTAAATCATGAAAGGGACTGTTTACATAATTTCCAGTGACCCAACATTTGAAGAGAAACGTGTGACGAGCTCAATTATGCATTAAGATGCACTTAAAACCTCTATATGCGTAACCATGAGGAAGATAACACCATTTTTCTTTCTTGAAACATGTTCAACAGTTCAATTCTGGAAATTTCCTTCATTGTTAAAAATGCGCGAGTCCTATATGTAGAGAAACCATAATTAAAAAGTAATCAATTTCCAGCTGTACACATAAGGCAATCGCATTCATCTTTGACCAGACAAATGTTTGAATATACCCACTATAGTTTCAGTAGAAGTAAATATTTCCATTTACTGATAGCGCCGATTGAAGGATTCATAACTCTAATTGGATAATGAGATAGACAGAAATATAGATTGTTACCGCCATATTATTTCTATTGGTTCAAATAGACATCAAACACATGACTGAACCCTGATTGGATCAGGCGCTAATGGACTTGGCATACAGGCGTGTTCTGTTGTTAATCGGACACGTAGCTCGCGCCTAAATGAAGGGTTGCTTGAAATTATGTTTAAAGTTCCTATCAATGATAAAAGCAATTTTTGCTGTAAAGATTTAATTCCTAAACTTTAATTTGACACAGGAGAATCGAACCCTGCTCCACTATGCGGCCTGGATAGGAAAACAAGATGTTCTGGAGATACTTCTTAAACTTCATCCATCCTTAGCTTTTGCTCAGGTATCCCTGGCACCATAGTTTCAGTAGAAGTAAATATTTCCATTAGCTGAAAACGCCCATTGAAGGATTCTTAACTCTGATTGGATAATGATGAGATAGATAGAAAGATAGATGTTACCGCCATGCAATTTCTATTGGTTCAGAATAGACAACAAACACATGACTGAACCCTGATTGGATCAAGTGGTAATGGACTCGGCATAGAGCTCTATAGTTTCAGTAGAAGTAAATATTTCCATTTACTGATAGCGCCGATTGAAGGATTCCTAACTCAGATGGATAACGAGATAGATAGAAAGATAGATGTTACCGCCATACTATTTCTATTGGTTCAGAATAGACAACAAACACATGACTGAACCCTGATTGGATCAAGAGCTAATGGACTCGGCATACAAGAGTGTACATATTCCATCATTTTTCAGGACGAGGGGGGTAGGGCCGATTCGCTTTTTTTTCAAAACATAAAATTCTAGCTTTGGTACCCAGCGTGGACAATTTTTATTTTTTGAGACAAGAAACACCAATACGCGTGGACCAGGGGAGTCCTAGTTAGTCCCACCGTTTACACGCCCCTAGTCTTAAATTACGATTTTTGCTATTTATCCTGATAAATGTCGTTCCCCTGAATTTTAAATCTCACAATCAAACAGAGAAAAATCCCGTGGCTCTCCCGAGTTCTTCAACCAAAATTTAAGGCAACACTGTCCAGGGGTTTCAGAGTTTTGATCGGACAAACAAACTGACAGACACACAGAGATTACATCTTTGTATATATAGCTATTTTTGAAATAATAGGTATGGGAATAGTTTTTGATTAGTTTAATTTAACCTTCATGGCATTTTCAGTCATTTGGAAAGTATTATTTTAAAAGTTCAAACATTCAAAAATGTACGAAATTCTTTTTGTATTTTCAGGATTAAAATAAAATTTTTCCTGATTTTCTTTTCTTTTTAGGATGAATATGGTGAAACTCCCTTGATGTTGGCTGTAAAGGGGGGAAAAGACTGTATTTCTTCACTCAAGTAAGACGCGTTAAAAAGAAAAACTTATAACCAATAGCTCACGTAGTTTTGGGCTTTTAACCTAGTGGAAATTGAGCAAACACTTTCAAGAACCCGTTCCCATACAACAAATGAATTTGAAAAATTTTGATTCTGTTTTTTTAGTTGCAATATTTAAAATATTTATTCTTTAAAGTGATGTATCACATTTAGTAAGATATTGTACAAACATGGGTACCTCTAGTTTATTGAGTGGCATGTCCTATTCACAAAGGTATCCTTAAAACCTTCATCTAAGTACAATTTATATCTATCGTGTGTGTAACGCTGAAAAGCATTAAATTCCTACAGTTTAATTCCTTGGTTCAGTTGCATAAATTCGAAATTCACTTTTTTGGAAGAACCAAAAGTGAAATCATCCAATTTTCACCTTGAAAATAATGTTATTTCATTAATCCTTGATCAGACAAAGGTTCAAAGGTACCGCAGTGAATCGAACATCATAATTTTGGCAATAAATTTCCAAAAAATGGACATACTGTATTAAAAAGTATTTGATGAAGTTAAATTATTTTAGGCTTTTGCTGGTGGATGTATCACAGGCGAAAATAAATATACGGTTTGTTAATAAATTATAATAAAACAAGACATTCGTATATATGTATATGTTGCCTATAGCCGGTCAAACGGCTGGACTGATTGGGCTGACATATATTGTGGACACTCATGGGTGGTCGGGGTGTTCGGCTAAAAAATCAAAAAATTTTGTTTCTAAATTTTTTTTCAAACTTATTTTTAAATTTTTTTTCAAATTTTTTTTCCACGGGCAACGCCGGGCCCTTCAGCTTGTAAATTATATTATTAATAACCAAATTTTTGTTGCCAACTTTTCTACAATTGTCATTTTATATCATTTTGATTTCTAACAAGCTTTTTTTCAAATTAGAAGTTTACAAGTTTCAATGTTATGTGTATGCTGCGTTAAAACTTGTCTTGTAATCAAAAAGGAAATCGAAAGTCGTCTTCATTGTTATGATATGTACGAAGACGACTATATACTGCAAAATTATAGGAATATGTCTGGACAGACAGCACTACATTTATCCACCATAGGCGTTGAGTTCTCCGTCACAGAGGTATGTTTTATAAGAAATGTTGTACGTATTTATTTCAGCATGACCTTTCATATAATGAAAGTGATGTCCGATTAACAAAGATAACTTTCAATACTTTTTCTGATCAATAATTTGGAAGATATCTTTGATTTCTTGAAAAAAATCTCTTTTCAGAGAGAATGTTCTTACTATATTTCTACCAGGAAAAGCTTTTAAAGGTATCGTTGTGAATATGACACATCACTCACTTTAGAATTCTCCCATTTTCCCTGCAATATAGAGCAAACAGTTTTTTAAGATTTTATTTAATAAAAATATTTTTTTTACATTTTTGAAAATTATGAATTAACTTTGTAATTATAGGAAAATTCAGTCTAATGAAACAGTTTTGGTTCTTTAATTGTTTATTGATTTAAACTGTGATCCTTTTAAATTGGGGGGGATACAGCAATTAGCTTACAAAGAAATATATCACTTCATAAAAATGTAATTATGATTGCTAATGTTCATGCAATAGCGCTACTTTTACCTGACAAATACAAATAACTGTAAGTTTCCCTTGGGATTCCTGGGTCACGTCAAACTAAAGTAAGTTTCACGTCAGATGGAAATATTATATATTTTCACTAATTTCCTCTCTCTTAAAAAAAGTTATTGAGAAGAACAAAAACACTTGTGCGTTAAATTAAACTGTAGGAGCAACCATCTCTGAGATTGAGAAAAGAATATATATATATATATATAATTGAAGCAATTTTATTTTATTGTTTCATATAGATCCCAAAAATATACTTTAATTTATTTTGTTGGAGCTAAAAATTCACGAAACCTATCTGGAAAGAACATCACGAAACCTTTCGCAATGAGAAATTCTATAAACCATATCTAAACTTTTTAGAGTATTCCTCCCAGGACCCAATAAATAATTTCAATAAAAATCCGTTGAAATTATAAGTATAAAGTTGAAAGTATAAAATTTTTCAATAAGATGTTATGGACACCATATATGTAAACCAAAACAAAACTTAAATACTGCACTTTAAAATTTTTTTCTAAAAACTCAATTAGACATTAGAGGAATGGACACTTACAGCAAACTCTTGTTTTTTATTTCTCAAAAATTTCCTAGTAATTTGTATTTAAAATAGCCTTTTGTTGGAAAACAAAACTCACGAAACCTCTCTGGCAGGATAATCACAAAACCTCTTTAAATGAGACATTTTCGAGACCATATTTAAACCAAAAAATATCTTAAATTCTGCCCTTTATAGTGAAATTTTCAAAAAACAAACTTAAAAAAATTTGGGTTTCCAACAAACACATGACACTCAACTAGGCAAAGAGGAATTTGTGACATTACTGGTACAACTTTGTGACCTAGTAGCTCGATCTGGTAGATTTGATTTACGCACAAGTGGGAGAAAAGTAAATTTATCCAGTTATATATTATATATCTATATATAAATTTGGCTTGTCTGTCTGTTTGTTTGTATCCAATAAACGTCAAAAAGGCTGAACCGATCGGGCCCAAATTTTTTGTGGGACATCACGTGACCCCAGGGAAGGTTTATGAATGATCAAAATTTCAAATATTTGTCTCCATCAAAATTCGATCTTCATTAAATTTTTGAAAATTTTGAAAAACCACGAAATTTTTTGTGAAAATCCGCGAATTATTTTTGTTTTGTTTTCCGATGTACACAAAGAGAACATGTTCACAATTAATTTAGAAGATGGGCGCGAAGCGCCCTTTAAGGCTAGTCTATATATAAATTTGGATAGTCTGTCTGCGTGTTTGTCTGTTTGTTTGTATCCTATAAACGTCAAAACGGCTGAACCGATCGGGCCCAAATTTTTTGTGGCACATCACGTGACCACAGGGAAGGTTTATGAATGATAAAAATAAAAAAAATGTGTTTTAAAGGTTTTTATTTTGTAAAAAATTTAAATTCTTAAAAATCTGCGAATTTTGTTTTAAAAATCCGCAAAATTTTTTTCTTCTTTGTTTTAAAATGTAAACAAAAAGATCATGTTCACAATTTAAATAGAAGATGGGCGCGAAGCGCCCTAAAAGCCTAGTATTAGAAACTCTAAACAACTATATTTTTCTCAATGGCTATTTCATTAAAATAGTTATGATTAAAAACATATAAGATTTAAATCTTAAGTGCAATTTACTTAAGCTATACGTGAACGTTAGAGAAATTTTTGATTTGGGTTTTAGTTTTCCGAAAAATTCAACTCTTTTTTTGCTTGTCTGTTTCTGCAATTGCTAAGTTTGTTGATAAATTTTTACAAAAATGTTTTTTTGGATAAGAATTGACCAATAATTGACAAACAATATTTTTGCATGTTACATACAGTTTAAATATTTTAGGCTTTGATCAAGGCAGGAGCTAGTGTGGCAATTAAGGAAATCAACTCAAAAATCAACTTATTATCAGAATGATCAGCAAAACTAAAGTTTTTTGTCCATTAACCAAACACGCACCCCTGACCCTCTAGTAAAAGTAAATTCAACCTAAAGTTTGACCGCGTCAACCTTGTTACACCGGCTAGTCCGGCGATACAGTACAAACTGGGGCCGGAAATGTTGACCCGGTTTGGAAATTCAAATGATCTAAGGCTGCCCGTTTATGTATGTTTTATTTTACGTGATACTCTACTTAACCTTTATCTACCCTTTAGAATTTAGATTCAGAACAGTGCCTTTTGAAATCTCAATTTGAGTAATATTTAGGTAATTTCGACGTTTTTTCCAAATAAAAAATTCTTTTGTGTTTCCTTTCTGCAGCATAAACTTGAAAGTCACTTTAATAGAGAAACCACCACAAAAAAATGACCAATTTTTAGCTAGAAAAATGAGGATGTCTTATTTATTCTTGGTCAAAAGATAGCTTTAAAGGGAACCATTTTTAATCTGAAGTCACGCGATAAAGAAAAAGTATAGTCTACAGTTTCTTTAACAATATGTTTTCAAAAAAGGTTTAACAAATTAAAAATCTGAAACATAACTTATCAAAGATAAAGGAAAAATATGTAAAGATATTTAAAAATAGAAATTGAAAAAAAAATTCTGCTCTTTGGACTATTTAGATTTATTTAATATAGAGAAAAAGTTGAATTTCGTAGATGCAGTTGAACTACATCTCTTTTGCGCCGGTTTAAGGGAAATGGTTCAACTAAGCCTAATCAATTCAGCTACGCCTTCATTAAATCTGGCCCCTAGAGAAATAAAGAGAATGGAACATCAATAATTTTACCCAGCATTTGAGTTGTTTATTCGTGAGTAGGATAAGAATGGTCGTCTTCCTGTTGACCTGATAGACTCAACAAATTCAAATAGAAAAACACTGATCTCTCTTCTCAGAAAATTTTCAAGATAGATCCGACCACTCATGATAGGGAAAATTCTAACAGTTTGTTCGTCCTGTCGAACTTACCAAAAGCAAGTCGAAATAAGTGAACATTTGTTCGAAATTATCAACATTGTAAACAGCATAGTAGGAGTAAAACATTTCCTAACATTCTGTTCATCATTTTGAACAAAATGTTCACAATTTCTAACAAAATCTTCGTAATTTCGAACACAATGTTCAAAATTAAATGTTTGTAATTTAGAAGAATTCGAAATTTCCAACAAATCTACGTATTTTCGAACAAAACGTTCAAAATCTATAATAAAATCTACTTAATTTCGAACATCAGGTTTATAATTTCAAACAAAATGTTGGTTATTTTGAAATATTTGCGGAAGGTTCGAAATTTCGGATCAAATACTATTGTTAAATGCTAAACATTGGCATAAACCATGTAACAAATTATATTAACTAAATTTAGTTAAATAAATATGTACGCAAGGTTAAAAAGATATGTTCCTGTGATACTTGATTAAACTGAACTAATATATGAATAAGTGAAAAAGATACAAACACATAAATTTTAGTTTTTAGAGTAAATAAAATTAGTTGTAATAATTTTCTTCACTCATGAAATCTGACCTATGTTGCTGTTAATCCAGCCAAATATGACAAAATTCGAATAATTCTAAAAAATGTTATATCACATTTAACGTTAGTTTATTAGTTTTATTTTGAAGTTCAAATACCAAAAACCATGCAAAAATTAATCATATGCAAAATAGATTTGTTATGATTCTAATTTTAGTTTGTATAAATACTATTTATTAACAAAGAACATTTTCAGCTCACTTTTAAAGGGCCAGACCGGCTATGTAAGGTAGTTGAACTGAGTATGCAGTGTTGTGGAAAGCTTCTTTAGGATTCATTTGAGACTTATAAAACTTTTTAAAGATCTGTAAATCCTGAGTTTGAGCGCAAATTCGACGTTCAAAACTCCTACTTTGGTGGTGGATACGTTACAGAATAGTTTTTTTTTTAATTACTAAATATTGCAACGAAAAATAAAGTAAAAATCATACAGTAATCTAATTAGATGGTTGGGAACATATTTATCAAAAGAAATTTGTCAATAAATCAATGCTAAAATCGATTATTTCGTTTTCATCATTGTATTGAATTTCTTACTTTCTATTAATTTATTCGAAAATTTCTTCAAATTCTTTAAATGTCGTCTTTTCAATAATAATTTCAGAAAATCTGTAGAAAATCTTTGTGAATAATGAGAAACTAGAATAATGAGAAAATAGAAACTAAGAATTGAACAAGATTACTTATTTTCGATGATAAGATTAATTTTTATTTTCTCAACCGGTTCCTAAACAACTAATTAGTTTACTGTAGAGTTTTGTTTACATTTTTTGCCGTCGTTATTTAATAATTAAAAAAAAACCGATTCTGAAAACGTATCCACCCCCAAATGTAGGAGTTTTGAACGTCGAACTCAGGATTTACAGATCTTTAAAAAGTGTTATATGTCTCAAATGAATCCTAAAGAAGCTTTCCACAACACTGCATACTCAGTTCAACTATCTTACATAGCCGGTCTGTCCCTTTAAGAATGTATTTATTTTGAATTAGTATGTTTTTGTTTTCCTGATCACAGAAATTTTTCGTAAAAAAACTAGAACAAATTTCTAGATTGACAAACTATTTTATCAAACATGTTTCCCACTAATCTCAGAAACAACTTTTCTCATGAAATTTTAGTGTTAAAAAATATGTAATTCCGCTATTCCATAAAAAATATGTAATTCCACTATTCCATAAAAATTGATTCCAGTTTTAGAGATATTTTTTTTAAGATATAAATGATTTTTGAAAATTTATATGTCTTTGAATAAATTTGTTTTACTTGAATATAAATAAAAACTTTGCGTTGTTTTACTTTTTTTGAGAAAAACTAAGTTTTCGTTATTAGTGGAATACAAATGATGAATATATCTTATTCCATGAAAATCATAAAAATCAGCTAAAAATTATCTGTACAAATCTGCTTGAAGTCTTGCCTTATCTTACAACGATGACAAAATGGAACAATATTGTTAATCAAAATCTTATTCATGATGGGAAGAATTTCCCAGATAAAATCTAGTGATAATTTGTAAACAGTCTTAAAGTTTTGTTTTATTTGTTAAGATTTGGGACAGATCTGCAGCAACAATTTGTCAGTGATTTCTTTTTATTTCTCTTTCTTCTGTCAATAGATTTTTGTAAAATTTTAAAATAGAATATAAATTTTCCAATTCATTTCGCAAGAAAAAGTTAGAAATTAGAAAAAAATTATCAGCTGATTTTCTGTATGTACCGAAAAAATATTCCTCCATTTTGATATTACATTTTAAAGCTAAAGCATTAACCCAATAGAAACAAACTTAGTGTTGTGTTGTACAACGCTAATCCTGTATTAATCATAGCAAATCCTTAAACTTTCAGCTGATCAAAAATATGGAAAATATTTTCCTTTTTTAGATTTCTAGATATTATCCTGCACAATACTCATGTATGCCGAGTCCATTAGCGCCTGATCCAATCAGGGTTCAGTCATTTGTTTGTTGTCTGTTCTGAACCAATAGAAATTGCTTGGCGGTAACATCTATTATTCTATCTATCTCATTATCCAATTAGAGTTATGAATCCTTCAATCGGCGCTATCAGTTAATGGAAATATTTACTTCTACTGAAACTATAGTGGAGTATGCCGAGTCCATTAGCGCCTGATCCAATCAGGATTTAGTCATGTGTTTATTGCCTATTCTGAACCAATAGAAATAGTATGGCGGTAACATCTATCTTTCTATCTATCTCATTATCCAATTAGAGTTATGAATCTTTCAATCGGCGCTATCACTAAATTTACTTATTCTGAAACTATAGTGAGTAGAAATAGGCAAGTCATTTTTGTAAAGAAACCGCAATTGAAAATGATCAGTTTTTAAACTTGAAAAGTAGAGAACCGGGTATTGCAATCTCTGCATCAAGGGGCCTTTGAGATTTCTCTTACAGTCTGCTTCTAAAATGAAAGGGGGTATAGGCTTACGACAAAAAATAAGCACTTTTGATCGCTATTAATCTTACTTCTATCTGTTGCGTCTATAACGAGAAAATTGTTAAAAACGGCTCTTGTTTAAGAATGTAGCGTCCATACAAAATTTAGGAAGTTGCAACATTCAACTCGGATCGTAAAATAATCAAACTAATTCCAAACAAATAATTCAGATATTACAACCAATAGTCATCGATTAATTTTCGAAGCATTCGTATAAAGTTAATATTTAATAATATTTTTGATTTTGTTTTTTTAAATTATATTTCGCTGGCGCTGGATTTTCGAACATTCCTGGAAAATATGTTAACGTCGTCTTCATTATCAAAAATCCTCGAAACACGAATAAATGTTTTCAAAGGTAACCATCACATCATAAAAAATAAAAAAACTATTATTAAATATGAACGAAAAATCGGCCACAGTTGTCTTTGAAAAGAGTACTAATACCAATTAAGAGCTAATAGGTTGTTTAGTTTACCATAAAATTACCCAAATAAGTGATCAGAGCTGAAAACTTTAGAATGTGATATCCTTAATCCCGATCTGTTAATTAATCTGGAGATTAAATTCATGAGGAAAACAAGCAATATTTAATCTGGAGATTTAGAAAAAGAGTGGATCAAGCATTAATCCCGATATCCACCATTCTAAAGTTCCCAGCTCAGTTCCCTTAATCCAAAATGAGGTGATTGAAAAACTATCTTTTTTTATAAGTTCAAAGTTTATCAAAAAATAATGTCTCATTCTTTGTGGGAATAAGTTTACAAGTTGAGAAATGTATCATTACTAGTGGTAATGGAAATTAAACAAGTTTTGAACATAAGGTGATTTATTGATTATTAATAATAAATCGTTAGTACACAGTTAATATGTTGTATATCCGTGCACCTTACAACTGCACAGATGTTTCCTTCAACAACTATACACGTCCTTGATCGTTTATTTAATGAAGGTTTCTTTTCAATAAAACAACTTGTTATGAGGAAAACGTATTCTTCTTCACAGTTCATCTTTTCATCGACACTTTCTCTAACAAACTCTTTCACCCAAATATGTACATGGGAACCTTTGTACATGGGAACCTTTGTGTATGGTAAGCCCCAGCCAAACCAAACCGCAGACATCCTGATATCCCAGAATAGAAAATCCGGGAATCTGATTGGTGGATCAGCTGAGCGCCGGGACAGCGTCGACCAATCAGAGTGTAGGGATTGGTGCTAGTATCAGTATATCCCGCCTTACAGTGCGGGACAGGGGGAGATCATTATCTGCGAGTGAGCCCAGTTTGTAAACAGTAGACAAACAGTGTATTTGTGGTGGGGCACTGATACCCTAGTATACAGATAAATACAGTGTACAGTAGTGTTTACAATATACATGTACATCAACATATAAAATCTTGATTACAACAATAATAATAAACAAAGTGTGAATAATTGTACTTTTCCAACCCGTGAATTTATGTCTTTTTAACAGTGTGTTAGATTAAAATTTTCGGAGAAGATATCACGTTGATAGAATGAGTTCTGAAGATGGAGGCAGTGATACAGACAGCCTTATTCGCCTTCAGAGTCCGCCTGGCGAAAGAGCGGATGTTACACGCCCCCCGGGCACACCCCCACACTATGCCACGCCTAGTCCTGATAAGAAGATGTGGGGCGGGCCTATGATGCCGACACCCCTCCTCGCACTTCCAACACTAAATTTTTCAGTAACTCAGGAAACCGCATTTTAACATTTAAAAATTTAAAATTTTCAAGAAATTATTTTGAAAATGTATTTTTAAGAAAATTTCATTTAGCATAAAAAAAATACAAGCACTTGCTTTTCAGACCCAATTAATGGAATATTTCTTAGCTAAATCAAATAGATTATCAAGTACAATAGGTGGCAATATTTTCTCACATTAGTTGACATGTTTTCAAAATTAAATAAATAAGTGTAAAAACAGAAAATAAAGAACACATAAAATTATTATTATTTAACTGAAAGATAAGCACTTATATCTTAAAATATTACTATTATTAATAATTTTTTCGGGCACAAAAACTGAGTTGACAATTGTGATGTCAGAATACAGCTGTACTGACAGTGTACAAATTCTACGTTGCCATCTATTGTACTAGAATCTATTTGAGCTAAATATATTAAATCATGTGCTACTATACACCCCGGACAAAGTTATTCTTATTCTATTCACAAGTAAAAACAAAAATAGAAATTTTAATTTTAGATGGATTAACTTAATTCTTGTTATCTCAAACTTGAGTTAGTTAAAAACAAATTGCTCAAGTAAAAAATTATGTATCCAAATGAATTGATTTCTTATCCAAATTTAAACTATATATATTGTTAGATCAAAAAATTTAAATTTAAAATAACAATGGTTCAAACCATCTGGTTGCAAAGATATAGTGCAAATTTGAGCTTGTGGCAAATAACAGATATTTTGTACATGTCAATAACGTATTATTAAACTTTATAATCAAGAATTATTAAAAAAATACTTTTGCATTGGAAGTAAAACCAACTTAATGCATTAAAATCTGAAAGTTATTAGTTCATAAGACAAACAGAAAGTTTCTGCACTCAATTCTTCGGCATATAAAACTCATTAAAAGATTTAAAAGGGTTTGGGAAAAAGGAACTGAACACTCGTCACAAATTCACATCACTATTTATTCTATGATTTTAAATCTTTTTCATAGTTTTTTTCGTGCGTTTTCTTGCTCAAACTGATTCAATTTTCATTTTTTTAATCGGAGTTAAATTTAAATTCATAAAAATAAAATAAAAAATCAATTAGTTCTAAATTATTTCGATGTCCGATCATAACTCATGAACCTTTCAGGACCGATTTGCCTCAAGTTTTGATTGGGGAACTCGGTAGAACCAAAGAAATGTTTTTGTTTGAGTTTTTTATTTGATTTCTAGGAAAAACTGTAGGAAAAGCTAGGTTTCCAAGATAGTTTATATTAATATACTAAAAATTATCTTTACATATATAGTGGTAATCTCTGTTGTCTGTTTGTTTGTTTGTCAGATCATAACGCCTGGACCAATTTGCCTAAAATTTTTATTGGGGAGCTCATAAGAACCACGAGAATGTTCTTAGCATGTAGCTCTTAGTTGATTGGGTTGATTGGGTTTATTGGGTTTATTGGGTTTATTGGGTTTATTGGGTTTATTTGGTTGATTGGGTTTATTGGGTTGATTGGGTTTATTGGGTTGACTTTTACAAAGTTTCAGGCAAAGCTGGGTTCTTAAGCTACTTATTTAATAATAAATAATACTAAATTGGAAACCCAGCTTTAAATGGATCCAGTACTTTCCCACCCACTCAACTCTTTTAAACCCAGCTAAGAACATTCCTATACATGGTTCTTCCGAGTTATCCAGTCAAGATTTGAGGCAAATATGTCAAGGGGTTCTAAGTTATGATCTGACATACAAACAAATATACAGAGATTACTACTTTATATACATGGATAATAACCCTAAAAATCAAACTATGGTTATGTTCATATTGGGACTTAATCTAGACACCCACAGTTGCTGGGCTTTAATAGAATATTAAAAATTTATTTGTGAACAGGGGCGCTTGGGGGGGGGGGATTTGTTTAGAAGAAAGGGACATCATAATGTTAGATAAAGTTAATTACAAAACTGTTTTAAAACCTTATAATGAAATAAAATCTTAAAATCAATTATTTACCAAGGATTTGGTCTAGTATTAGTTCACAAATAAACTACTTTGTGAGTTTTAATCAATGTGCATCAGAATCTTTTACATGGTAGTATTTCATGTGATCATTTGTTCATTGAAACCTTTGTACATTGGAACCTTTGTACATTGGAACCTTTGTACATGGGAACCTTTGTACATGGGAACCTTTGTACATGGGAATCTTTGTGTATGGTAACCTTTGTACATAAGATTTGAACATGAGAAGTTTTGTAAATGTAAACATTTGTACATGTGCACTTTTTTACATAAGTACCTTTGTACACGGGAGTCTTTGTACATGAGAATCTTTGTACATGATAACTTTTGTATATGGAAACCTTTGTAGATGAGAACCTTGGTTTATAGAAAACCTTTGTACATGGTAACCTTTCTACATGGAAACTATGCTTATTAAAACCTTTGAGCATAGGAACCTTTGAACATGGGACCCTCTTTGAACATGATAACCTTTCTACATGGAAACTTTGCTTATAAAAACCTTTGAACATTGGACCCTTTAGACATGGTAACCTTTTAAGACATAGACCCAGAGAGCTATGCAAAGTTGCATAAATTTTCAAGACTGATTCGACTTTAAAGAGTTGATTTGACCTCCCTTTGTAGCTTTAGACATGTATAATATTTGATTTGACCTCTCTTTGTAGCTCTAGACATGTATAATATTTGATTTGACCTCCCTTTGTAGCTCTAGAAATGTATAATATTTGATTTGACCTCTCTTTGTAGCTTTAGACATGTATAATATTTAATTTGACCTACCTTTGTAGCTCTAGACATGTATAATATTTGATTTGACCTTCCTTTGTAGCTCTAGACATGTACAATATATACATGTATAATATTTAAGATCTATCAAGCACTTGTTTCAAGCTTAAGTATTTAACAAGTAATTGTTAAAAATCAATTTCTGCGTGAGATTTTAGTTGTTGTATGATAAATAAAATACCATTTTTATCTGGACACCCTGTATATATTTGACGAAATATCATTTTTAAATGAACACCAATATCGTTTTTACCTGGACACCCTGTATATATTTGATAAAATATAATTTTTATCTGGACACCCTGTATATATTTGACGAGATATGATTTTTAAATGGACACCATGTATATATTTAATCAAATACCATTTTTACCTGGACACCCTATATATATTTGATGATAACCATCTTGTTATTGTACCATGGGTTGAAATTAATAAAAGTATAATGTACTCTTGGTGTTTACACTACTGTAGCTTGTTTACCAGTATAAACTCTATATAATACCCCCGCAATTATGATATCAAAATATAAGAATAACAATAAACGACGTGATAATATTCTTTAATTGGGTTTTATTATATATTTTAATAATGTCAACCTTCTTTGTATTTTTGTCGTAAGATCCAGCCCCCCCCCCCCCCACCATCTACATCAATACTGCACCGCTTCTTATATGATAATTATATTTAAACAGTCGTCGAGTATATTCTTATACAATTAAGAAATATACGTTTTATCGATTTTATAAACAGCTTACAATGTATAATTATCCCTTTAAGTTAGAATACAGTTTCATGTCTTTGTAACAATAGATATTAGACCTGGCTTAGTCCTACACTCAATATTATACCAGGGATAAATAGAAATTTAAGAAATCGTATTTTTGAAAATTGAAATTATTTTTTTAAAACATATCACTTGGAATTTATAATGTTTAAACGGGAAAATATTTATCCCGGTATTTGTTGGCAAGCCTGGGTTCAGTATAATATCTTCCAAGCTCCTCCCGCCATTTGCCGCCATATTGTGTCCGCCATTTTGCGTGCGCCGCGCCCCGCAACTTTTCTCGTGTTCCCGCCATATTTGTGAGTACAATGGGAAATCATAGAGGATGAGATTTCGTATTCATAGCTACATGTAGCGATGACAGCTCAAATGTTAACAATCTTATTTTTGCCACATTTTTTGTCAAATATTTAAATATCTCCTGTTATTTCGACACTTTTCACCCTCTTAACACTCAGCGCACATTGAATCAAATTTACCTCAACTTTTAGATCTTGACAGACTATATTTTATTAACAAGTAGATATTAGGAAAATATGCAATTGTATAAATATAGCGTTCAAAAATGTGATTTGAAAAAGGTTGCTACAGTGTGTGAAACTTTGGAGGAGAGTGGTGATATTGAGAGATTAGGAAGGTTTCTTTGGAGTCTTCCTGTAGCACATCCTAACGTTGAGGTAAACTTTTAGGAACTTTCTGAAGAGGTAGTCTTTTATAGAGACTATTGAGTAGTGAATATCTTAATATTTAGTTTATGAAGAATATTGGGAAGTCTTTTGGAACTATTAGGTAGTGATTATCTGAAAAGTTAGTTAGTGAATATCTAGATAGGTAGTCTTTAGATACTAGTGGGCAGTTAATATCTGGATAGGTAGTCTTTAGAGACTAATGGATAGTGAATATCTGAATAGGTAGTTTTAAAGAATATTAGTCAGGATATATTGTTAGGCCTGTTAAATAATGTATATAGATATTCTTTTAAGACTTTTAGGCACTTAATATCCTAAAATAGATAGTTTTTAGATACTTTTAATTACTTTAAGATATTATGACTCGAACCAGTTCAGAATCAATCAGAAATTACCTGTAAAGGGACTGTACAGGAAAAATGAAAGGTGGTATAGGATGAAACCTGAGAATCTCGAAGTTGAACGATACCTATAAGACACCTATCTGATGTTCCTGTCTCGAGAATTGATATAAAACTGTGTCAAATTCATACAAAATTCATATACATGCAATTTTGTATAAAATTTGTAAGTTTAAACAGATCATATTTAGCAAATACGAAACCAATCTGAAAAAGACTATATCGTACAAAAACCTGAGAATATCAGGTTTGCTCCTGTTATAATTATTTAATTTTTATTTTGCAGTTTTAATAAATATAGTCCGTATTACGTCACCAGAAGTTCAGCCAATGGCAGTGCAGTATACTGGTCACGTGATTTTCATCTGTATAATCGTTTTCAGCTTGGTTTCGTTGAATAAGATCTGTTTAATACTACAACTTTTATACAAAATTGCATAAATATAGATTTCCGTTTAAATTTGACACAGTTTTATATTAATTTCTCAAAACAGAAACATCAGATAGATGTCTTATATGTTTCATTCAACGCCTGAGATTCACAGGTTTCATCCTATTCCCCCTTTAATTTTTCCTCTAAAGTCCCTTTAAGAAAAAACGCCTGGAAATCTATAAAATAATTTGGGCAGTTTGCTTTTAAATTTAAAACTTAAACTACTCTTTTTCAGGAATTAAACCAAAGTGAAAGTGTACTTCGGGCTAGAGCAATAGTAGCATTTCATCTTGGAAACTTTAGGTTAGTTTAACTTTATTTTAACAGTTAGGACCTGGTCCAAGCAAACTGTAACTTTAAATCACAATTTTACCAATTAAACTTAAAGGAATTGAGTCTTTGCCACAAACTCTGATTTACTAATCCCTATATCTTCGGAACCCAAAGGTGTAGACCTTAGATGTTTCAAACTATAAATTTTGTTCCATAAATAACATAAGTTTGAAATATCAAAGGTTTCCACCAACAGGTTGCAACGATAAAGGGATAAGTTGTAAATAAAAAAGTAATTCTGTAAATTAAAAGATTTTTAAAAATACACAAATAAATAAAGATTGAAGATCGAGCTGTGGTTTGTACAGGGTGGGTAGTGTTGGTGGAAAATAAATAAACATATACGCAAAACGTAATGTGTTATAGATCAAAGTGAAAGTGAAGGTTTAAGTAACCGAACCTATTGAAATTATTACTACATGAAAAAATGGACCAGAGGTCAAAACTTTAACGTTTTGAAAATCCAGGGATCAAGCAGTTATCCGCGAGTCCGTGACTTTTATCGTCAGAGGATTAAGTTAATTCCTCAAGAATAAAATTTAAGGGTTAAAGCGCATTATCATAAAATTTAAAATTGTCACTCTGGATATCGAGATCAATTGCTGAACATGCTTTTTCCTCCAAAAGGTTTGACCTCTGCACTTATAAAAAAGTGATCCTATAATTTTTTCTGTTTAGGGAAATGTATGATATATTAGAAAATAATAAATTTTCGAACAAGGAGAACAGTCATGCTAAACTACAAACTCTTTGGTTAGAAGCACATTATCAGGTACACTGTCGTTTATAAGTTGCAAGCTCTTAAAGTCATTCAAAAGTTACAAGATCTCATGTAAAAATCAACGAAAATTTTGGCAGTTACTTTTAAAAAACCAAAGCTTAATACAATCAATTTTTTTTCTAAAATGTTCATTACTAGGGCTACGGTAAATAAGTTATTAAGGTAAAATCAAAGACAAGAGGGTTGCTACACTTTTAAATCGACCCAGTCTAAAAACTATTACAATTTTTTAAAGCAGTCTGAATTTATGGCACTCCTGTATGCCGAGTCAATTAGCGCCTGATCCAATCAGGGTTCAGTCATGTGTTTGTTGTCTATTCTGAACCTTTAATAGGCGCTATCAGTAAATGGAAATATTTACTTCTACTGAACCTATGGTGATGGGGTACAGTATTAAAACTAAAGGGATATGTAATGTATATAAGTAGTATTATTACTAGAAAAATCTTTCTTAAAAGATTAGGAGGAGGTTTAAGATAGAAAATGTTATAAAAAAATATAAAGATATATCTGGACAAAATACGTGATAAAAAATAAAATAAAAATACAAAAATAGAGTTTTAAACATAAAAATTTAAAGACGTACGAGAGCAAACACATTAAAAAGGAAGAGGAATAAATATATGATAAACTAGGATTGAGTGGACTGTATAAGAGGAATAAATGTATGATAAACTAGGATTGAGTGGACTGTATAAGAGGAATAAATGTATGATAAACTAGGATTGAGTGGACTGTATAAGAGGAATAAATGTATAATAAACTAGGATTAAGAGGACTGTATAAGCTGAATAAATGTATGATAAACTAGGATTGAGTGGACTGTATAAGAGGAATAAATGTACGATAAACTAGGATTGAGAGGACTGTATAAGAGGAATAAATGTATTATAAACTACGATTGAGAGAACTGTATAAGAGGAATAAATGTATGATAAACTAGGATTGAGAGGACTGTATAAGAGGAATAAATGTATGATAAACTAGGATTGAGTGGACTGCATAAGAGGAATAAATGTATGATAAACTAGGATTGAGTGGACTGTATAAGAGGAATAAATGTATGATAAACTAGGATTGTGAGGACTGTATAAGAGGAATAAATGTATGATAAACTAGGATTGAGTGGACTGTATAAGAGGAATAAATATATGATAAACTAGGATTGAGAGGACTGTATAAGAGGAATAAATGTATTATAAACTAGGATTCAGTGGACTGTATAAGAGGAAAAGGATAAATGAACTTGAATAGTAAAACGTGATAAACCTCCTGTTCATAAATTACACTTCGTTTGTATCTCTAGCTGGTAGATACAGTGGGATTAATAAAATTGCGGACTATGAAGACAACATTTCAGCCATCTTATTTATGCGTATTTGATGTTGTTTTTAATATCTGTACATGTGTCTCTTTATGTTGCTGTCTATCTAAATATTTTGCTTTCTATCTATCTATTTTGCTATCCATCCTAATATCTTTCTATCTATCTAAATATGTTGCTTTCTATCTATGTTGCCATTTATCTAAATGTATTGCTATCTATCTAAATATATTGTTATCTAGCAAAATATATTGCTATATCTAAATATCATGCTATATATCTATCTATCTATCTACCCAAATAAGTCTATCTATTTAGCTTTCACGCAAGCGCACAGTAATACTGACAGATTAACGTGAATTAGCTGTGGGGCCTTTAAATTATAGACTCCTAGTTTGATTAATCAAAACACCGGCTATATACAGGCCCACCGATAGATAGATTAATGAAGGGAGATAGATGGATAGATAGATAGATAGATAGATAGATAGATAGATAGATAGATAGATAGATAGATAGATAGATAGATAGATAGATAGATAGATAGATAGATAGATAGATAGATAGATAGATAGATAGATAGATAGATAGATAGATAGATAGAAAATTATTTGATAATATTTACCTGCACGCTATACAGTTTCATCCTTACAACAAGATAATAGAACTATTATTGAAAGAATAGAAAATACAGAAACTAAATGATAAATGATAAATAATAAATGATAAAAGATAAATAATAAATAATACTTGTTTTGGATAAAATTACTGTGCTCTCTGAAAAGTAATTAATGAGAAAAAAGATAGCGTGCAAACAAAACTAACATTCAATCTGCTAAATCTACGAAAGATTATGAATTACATTTCTAATTGTATTGCGGTGTACTTTTTGTAACAGTTATGTGCATCATTCAAATTATCGATTGTCGTAATTAAAATGACAGTTCATTTTAAAATTAAGAAAATGATGAAGATATTCCTTTTTTCTCTGGGACAATTGATAATTTTCAATTGCGGTGACTTTAATGATACTTAACCATGGCGCATCTATATAAATAAAGTAAAGTTATAAAATAATATTCTCTGTTTTTTTCACCGATCAATAGCTCATAAACCTCTTGACTGATTTGCATCAAATTTTCATTGGGGAATTCGTTGGTTTGAATATTTTAAGTACAAGGGGTCAAAAGGAATTGAGTCCTTGCCACAAACTCTGCTTTTCTAATCCCATTATTTTTGTCTTAGACTTTAGATATTTCAAACTATGTATTCTGTGGGTTAAAGTAATCAAAGTTTGAAATCTCAAAGGTTTAAACCATCAGATTGCAGAGATATTGGGATCAGTCCCTATTTGAGTTTGTGTGAATAGAGAATGAAAAAAATAATATATGATTTTGTCTAGTGTCATCTATTTTTCTAGAAATGAAACAAATGTCTAAAAAGTATTGTGTTTAGGAGGCAGAAAAATTACGAGGGCGACCCCTGGGACCAGTAGACAAATACAGGTACAAGTACAGTACAGTACAGTACAGTACAGTACAGTACAGTACAGTACCGTACAGTACAGTACAGTACAGTACAGAACAGTACAGTACAGTACAGTACAGTACAGTACAGTTCCTTTTTCAAATAAATATGCACCACGGCGGAGGTTAAAGTAAACAATTGTTTATGTTTATTAATTGTTAATTATTAAAGTATTAATTATTGTTAATATATATATTTCTTTTAGGAGAGAACACGCAGTTTGCTTCGGGAATGGTATTTACAAGGTATTTCCATTTTAATTTCTTTTTTTCGTTTATGTTTCAAAGACTTTGCAACTTTAAAAACAAATTAAAAAGTAAAATATACTTTTTGCTCATATTATGAAATATTTAAAACGTTTGTTAAATTATCGAATTGACAAAATCAAATTATCTTTTGCGTTTCGCATTTAGTTACAGTTTTAAGGAATCTTATGTATTTTTGATTTTGTTGTAAAGTTAAAAGTCATAACTTAAGTCTAACAGTCGTCTTCCTATTCTACAGTTGTATGGGTCTGCACGCAGATTTAATAGTTCGATCTAGCAAGCTTTGATTTTGATCAGAAAACATCGAAAAAAAAACATATTTATTATCATATTCATATATATTATCGATGGATGCGTTTTATATAAAAATTATGAACATCCAACTCTGTAAGTTTTAAGATTGTTTACAAAACACCAAAACGCGATTGAATTCAAATTGAGGAAATCGAACACATCCAAGTATGTTCGCACCCCGGACTGACCGGGGCAGGGATACATTAGGTTTAATTTATTCTATTTAAAATCAATCCTAGGTTGGTCTCATGGTAAACAATCTATTAGCTTACTGAGTTGGCAGTTCATACTTTTTTTTCGTTTAAAACGCATATGTCGACAAACAAGTATTACAAATTATGATTAACAGGTCAAAGTGTGATTGAAAATTTTCTGGGATAAGGACCTAATGGATAAAAATCCGCGTGATCTAAGTGTGTCCGGGATGTATAAATTGTTGTTAAACCCTAAACTGTTTAGATCCGTATCCAAACCCGAGTAAGAAGCGAGAACTGGCCCAGGCAACAGGGTTAACACCGACTCAGGTAATTCAGTGCGCTTCGTGGCCCACGCAGGACAAATTAAAGTGAATTTCACGTAAGGTTGAAATCTTTTATGTTATCAATCATAACTCTTTTTGAATAACATTACTTTCTTTAACATCTATATATTTCAAGTGGTAATCTCTATTTGTTTGTTTGTTTGTCTGATCATAACCCAGGAACCCCGGACCGATTTGCCTCATAATTTGATTGTGGAACTCGGTAGAACCACGGGAATGTTCTTAGGTTGGTTAAAAAGTGTTTAGTGAAGTAGGTCGACTTTCCATAAAATAACTTAGTACCCAGGCAAAGCTTGGTTCCTGGTTAATGACCTAATATGTTTCTGTACACCAAATAATAATAAAATAAAAGAGGTCACAAATTCGTACCACCGCTAATGTCGCGAAAATTTGACTTTTTCTTCTGTCTAAATGGTTGTGCCCGTGGAAAATATTTTTCCGTGCGAATACTCAAAAAGTTAAAAAAAATTGATGTTTTAACACTCTCTAAATGTTTTTTATTAACTAATGAGTACTGTCCATTTTATTTAGTAGAATTAATTCGAGGTCCCATAAATGTTAAAGCAATTATAAAATTGGCTGTAAAAAAAATCACATTTATTGGATATTTTATACACCTTAAAGGAATTGAGTTTTTGCCACAAACTTAAATTTTCTAATCCCTATATCTTTGGACCCCAATGTCATAAACCTTTGATATTTCAAACTTATATTATTTGATCTAATAGAAATCATAGTTTGAAATGTCAAAGGTCTACGACATTGGGTTGCAAAGATATACGGAAGAGAAAATCAGAGTTTGTATCAAAGACTCAATTCCTTTAGGAAAGAAAATACAAAAGCAAGAATTTTGATAAAAAAATTATCTTTTTAATATTTTAATTGTTCAGGTTGGAAACTGGTTTAAAAACCGACGTCAAAGGGATCGGGCTGCGGCCGCCAAAAATAGGTAACTTATATTTTTATCTTTTTGGTTTCATTTCTTATATATCTACGAGATAATGTACGTTTTTAAAATCAGTTTAGAATTGATAAAAAAGAAAAAAAAAGTTTGAAATTATAACTTTTGAATGATCAAGATCAGACTTATCTGATACCATTATGTAAAATTCAATTAAACATTTTTAGAGTTTCTATATAGAACCTATTGACGAAAACAGTTTATAGATAATAATCTATCAAAACCGATTTGTTTTAACTGATGTTGCAACTGATTATAACAGTTTTGATTTAAACGAAAATAAAGCTGGCGTTTCAATATTGATTTATTTTTAGTTTAGAAAAACACCTGTTAAAAAAAACCTGTTAAGTAAAATGTATATTTCTCAATCATTTTAGAAGATTTGAAATGATACTTTTATTCATTTTTGGTTCCATACCAATTTCATCAAAGGAACACCTTTGCACCAAATTCAAAATTAATTTCTATTTCTTAGCAATCTGACGGTGTAAACCAATTATGTACCACACGCAAATCTGCCACTTTAGTAAAAGTAAATTCAACCTATATGAAGCATAAAGTCTAACCACGTAAACCTTGTTGCACCGGCTTGTCCTGTCCATAGAGCTAGGTACAGTAAAAGCTGGACCGGAAAGGTTGACCCGGCTCGGAAATTCAAATGTACTACGGCTGCCCGTGACCAGAGCTTGTTGGTATAATTTTGTTAATGACTACATCATCAGACTGGATAGATTTAAGGATTATACAATTATAGCTCAATTCCTTTATTTGTTAAAAAAAAAATTGTTACCGCATTGTCTCAGTTAAAAAAATCCGTTAACTGACAAAAATTATTTATTTCGTCGCACCCTCTTTCAGAAAACTCAAAGAATTGTCATACATGATTTTTTTTTTTAAATCATTAATTTATTTTAAGGATTATATACACCTCTTGATAAAATATTTTGAATTGTTGGGTCTCCTAAATATCTAAAATCTGTGAACAGTAGATAATTGTGCGGACTGGAAGATATCGTTTTTCTTTTTTTAGAAGAAAAAAGTTCCAAATTTCGAGAATGCACTAAATTTAGTTTGCAGACATTTAACCTTTTCCTTCCTACCCTTCCTAAGGGGGGGGGGGTAGTTGGTACTGGTTTAAGTGGTTGGTGAGAGTTGAAGGGGGGAGGAGGGTCATGAGGTCTTATTTCAATCAATAAAGATGTATTTAATCTAACTCAGTCGTGTGCAGCTGCAATCTGATAAAAATAAAACAAAAAAATAGTTTTTGTTTTACAAAATTTTAAGCCTTTTCCTACAATTAATTAGTTGCAAAATTGTTATTATATTAATAAAGCATTGCTTTGATCTTTTTTACTTTCGCTCTCCCCCCTACTTTTTAAAATTTTTAATTTTGCCCATGCCCGATATCAAGAAGTTCAATTATATCAAAATTATATCTTTGCAGAATTAACAGAAATTGTTCCGAATCATTAGTAATTAGCAATTAGTGTTTTTAGCAATATCAAAAAGGTAATTAATAGTGGGCACTAATTACCAGCTTTATTTCAACTTTAATTTATCAAACGTTTTTATATTTTTCAAAATTAATTGTTTGGAAAAACTGGTTTAATTTTCACATTCTTTTTAATTCCGTTGTACGTTGAAGAATTAAAACTTTATGTTTTTTTGTTTGTTTGGTGGTTTTGTGGTCTTTAGTAACAGATATACAGCAATAACGATCTGACAATGATATTATAAATTTATTACTTTAAACTAAAAATCTACCAAGAATGTAAGGCAAAAAAAGTTTATTGCGGTCGTGTATACTCTGTGTACATATTGAAACCAGTTCTTTTTGGGCGGAATTTGAAAACAAGAATAGATGCATCAGTGTTCGTTTAGTTTCCGAGGAGGTTAAAAGAATTAAATTTTGAAAAGTTTGATAATTCACATAATAGATCGATTCCTATGACCAGAATATTTCATCGACTTTTTATGTGAAAGATGGATCCCATTTCAGGCTTCGACATCCGTCTTGTGTTTACATTACCGCCCACAGACAGTGCACTGCAGTACAAAAGATGTGTACACTTCTGAAATAACTTTCCTTGCCTTACAATCCTTGAAATCTACCATCTCTATACCTTTTATCAATGAATTGTGCATTAACATATCTATAAATTTAAAAATCTACCCTCTTTCTCTATACCTTTTATCAATGAATTGTGCATNATCTATCTATCTATCTATCTATCTATCTATCTATCTATCTATCTATCTATCTATCTATCTATCTATCTATCTATCTATCTATCTATCTATCTATCTATCTATCTATCTATCTATCTATCTATCTATCTATCTATCTATCTATCTATCTATCTATCTATCTATCTATCTATCTATCTATCTATCAATCTATCTATCTATCTATCTATCTATCTATCTATCTATCTATCTATATAACTATCTATCTATCTATTTTTATTTCAACTTTCTTTATCTTTCAACATCTCTCTACATATGAATTAAATTTTCTATAAATCCCTAAACCTGGTTTTTATCCCTCCTATATTCTGTATGCACAAAGTATAAATGCTAAGCTTACTTAATTATGATATTTATATTGCTTGAGGGGTACTATATATATCTGTTCATTGTACAATATATATATATTTATATATGAATATATACTACATGACATCCTTCATATTCATACAAGTTTAAAACAATGAATTTTGCAGTATTACTGGTGAAACGTTGCAACCTCGTAGCTCCTCCGTTTATTAATTTTACTGCTCGAGGTCTGTTGGGTTAAATATAAAGATTTTCAAAACTCTAATTTCAAGCTGAGTAGAGAAAGGAGGTATGATTAAGAAACATATTAACGGGTTTAATCAAAAATGAAAAACAATTTCAAATAATAAGTATCTGTCTATCTGTCTATCTGTCTATCTGTCTATCTGTCTATCTGTCTATCTGTCTATCTGTATTCTGTGTTTCTGTCTATATGTCTATCTGTTTATTTTTCTATCTTTCTATCTTTCTATTTTTCTATCTTACTATCTGTGTTTCTGTCTCTGTCTATCTATCTATCTGTCAATCTGTTTATTTGTCTATCCGTCTATCTATCTATCTATCTATATATCTATCGTTCTATCTATCTATCTATCTATCTATCTATCTGTTTATCTATCTATCCATTTATCTATCTATCCATCTATCTATCTATCTATCTATCTATCTATCTATCTATCTATCTATCTATCTATCTATCTATCTATCTATCTATCTATCTATCTATCTATCTATCTATCTATCTANCCCCCCCCTCCCTCCGGGTTAAAATTATGTAAATGTGTCTCAACTTTGTCAATTCCTTCCGTCTATTTATCTAGCAGTGATTACAGAAGTATTTACATACGACGGGTCTAATCTAATAAAATAGAATCTAATCTAATTTTTAAATTTGAATTTGTTGTCACTACTTTGTCTCAACTCTCCCCCGTTCTTTTGTTACTTTTGTTTACTTTTTCACGTTTTCAGAAAATTTTGTTTGTAACTATTTCAAATAAAAAAAAATTCATTTGTGCTTCAAAATAATTGGTAAAATGTTTAATTTTTATTGTTGATATATTTTAGGTGTAGGCTCAAAAAAACGGCTTTGTTTTTCTTAAATACTTTTTTTCAAAGTTTGATATTTGGTATTAAAACTGTAAAGCATGAATTTTTAGAAAAAAAAAATATATTTTTAAACGTGGGGTTGCTAGAACCGGTTTTAAACAGTCAAAAACTAATTTAAAATTATCCCGAATTGTTTTAAAAATCGTTGATGCTGTTTTGAATTTTGTAGGAACTGCTCTAAATTCGAAAGCCTGTTCTAAAATTCGTTGGAAATAATTTTAAGTTTGCTGGAAACTTTTCTTAAATTTACTGAAACTATTCAAAAAAAACGCTGGAACTGTTATAAAATTTGCTGAAATTGGTCCAATAATCGCTGAAACTGACCTAAAATTTGCTGTTACTATTCTAAAATATGCCAGAACTGCTTTAAAAATCGCTCGAAATTATCATAAAATGACTGTATTTGATCTAAAAATCGGTGTATATGATTTAAAAATCGGTGTATTTGATCTCAAAATCAGTGTATTTGATCTAAAAATAGCTGAGTTTGTTATAAGATTCGCTGTATTTGATCAAAAAAACGGTGTATTTGATCTAAAAATTGCCCTATTTGATCTCAAGTTCCCTGTATTTGATCTAAAAATCGGTGTAATTGATCTAAAAAATAAGTGCATTTGATCTAAAAATAGCTGTATTTGATCTGAAAATTGTTGTAACTGATATAAAAATAACTGTATTTGATCTAAAAATTGCTCTATTTGATCTAAAATTCGCGTTATTCGATATTAAAATCGCGATATTTGATCTAAAAATCGGTGTATTTGATCTAAAAATCGGTGTATTTGATCTAAAAAATCTTCGAAATTCCCCTTCTTGAGCAGCGGATAAAGAAGGTTCCCATTGTTTTGAAGAGAGATGTAAATCCATTTTCGAATTTGAATATTTCATTTTCACACAGGATACAATTTTTATCAAAATCCCAATCTTTTGAGTTGAAACTTTGTGGACTTACACAATACATTCTTTATTCTTGTCAAATATATCACTGTACAGCGCAAAAACGAACTCTAAACAAAATAAAAAATCGCATATATAAAACAAGATTCAACAACCTCGGAGTAGGCTGAGGGGTTCGAACAGAACAAACAACTTAAATATCACCTAAAATTGATTTGGGAAAAATAATCGCCAAAATCCGCGAAATTGATCCAAATAAACCCTCTTTTACCTATACTGTAGTGTAGCTAACGCTTACCTGGACAACAAAAATCGATTATTTGGAAGTTTTTCAGATTTTGCTGGGTGTACGGGTGTACCTATTTAAATTATTTACGCAACTTGTACAAGAAATCCACGATTTTTCAATTTTAAAATTTTTACAATGTTTCGTTCAAAGGGAGTGTTCGCGGAAAATGAAAGGGGGTAAAGTGTGATTTCGAATTGAATT